GGGCCAGACCACACACCCTCCTTCACAGCTGGTTAAGGGCTGTTCCATTTTAAATGGTGTTGAGGTTGTGACGCAAACTGAGAGCAAGGCACGTTGGACTGAAGTGTCATGGGTGAAGTTTTATCTTGAACTTAGAAATATCTTGCTTTCATTAAGATCTGTTGTAATTTCATTTCATTTTTAACTGAACTTTTTTTCCTTTAAAGCTAAGGTAGTGATCATGAAAGGTGCCAAATTGACATCAGTGGAAACTGAAGGCCTCATTTTATCTACAGAGCAAGTGCAGCATAGGTAGTGTCAGTGTAGATTTTGCCACACTGCCCTGTCAGGGTGCTTCAACAGTATTCCTATGGACCATGTAGTATGAAAGGATAGCCCATGAGCAGTTCCCCATCAGTCTTTTTCCTTGTGCTGAGATGATCAAGAAATGCTAATTAATGCCTGACTGTGATGTGGAACTCCATCAGCAAGCAAGTGGAGTGAAAAACGATCAATTCATTTAACTTCTAATCATGTAGTTGGTGGTGCTGGCATTTTGTTACCACTGTGAGCCAAAGGCTTGCACTCGCCCACTTGAATCATTTACTTCTTTTTAATAGCAGTTGAAATAATGTTTAAAAATGTATAAATAAAATAAGTGTATATAAATAAAATAATAGACATTATCAACATTTCCCATCAAAATATTGTAGAAAAAATTTTACATTGCAATTTTTTCATTGGAGAGTATCATAAATTATTTATTCTATACAAAATTAAACAGAGTTACAATAAGATATAGGAAACAAAGTGAATTTGCAAAAGAAGTAAGAATCAGAGCCTCAACTCATGCAAATCAGCATAACTTTATTGAAAGCTGAATCTAAATGTTTTGACATCCTAGTTTCTAAATGAATCTTGGGAGCAGCATTTCATTTAAAAAAAAAAAAGCTGGAAAGGACCTCAGGAGATCATCTAGTCCAAGGCACTCAAAAGTTTTCAGCCAGATAAGCAGTCTCAAGTCCATTTTTGGGCCTGATCCAGTATGTGGTGTTGTTTCTATGTGGCTTCGTTGTGCTCCAGCTTGATCCAGCTGCATGAGAGCCTGATCCCTCTGGGCAGGGCCAATCCAGTCTTGTGGGGCTTGGAAATTTGGTGACAGGACTGGTGGCAGTTAACATGGGGAGACCTGTGGGCCAGATGACATGGCTGTGCAGGCCAGGGCATTGAGTACCCCTGATCTAGTCCATCCCTGTGCTCTGGTAAGGATCATCCCTGTCTAACTTATCCAAGCAAAGTGTTTGTTTAACCTGCCCTTGAAAAACTTAATGATGGAGGGATGATTTAGACAGGGATGATCCTTATTAGAGCATGGGAATAGAATAGATCAGGGGACCCCTGGCCTGCAGAGCGATGCCATGCTATCCAGCCCACAGGTTTCCCCATGTTAATTGCCACTGGTCCCATCATCAAATCGCCTCTTTAGGTAATCTGTTCTGAACTTAATCATGCTCATCATTAGATATTTTTTCCTAATATCCAACCTACGTGTACCCATTACTTTTTGTCCTGTCCCTTGTAGACACAGAGAACAATTGATTGCCATCTTGATAACAACTCTTTTTTGTATCTGAAGACTTATCAAATCTGTTTGGTCTTCATATGTATTAGATTGATCTTATAATGAACTAATTTTCAAGAAAAACTGTAAGATACAAGAGAAGAGGAAGAAAAGACAAATAACAGGCAAAACATTTTCAAAAATTAATTATTTGACCTAAAGAGCAGAGTTGAGTGTGTTTTTTAATAACCCAATAGAAAAATCAGGAAAAAATTCTGTTGAAGTCAAGCTGAATAACTTTTGCAGTTTTTGTTTTGGGGGGGGGTGCAGTTTAAGGCAGTGGTGTTTAACCTTCTCATTCAGCATGCCAGATGGGCAGTGCCCAGTCCCTCTGTGGGCCAAATCCTGCTGGTGGATCCAGTCTGCCACCTTGAGCATGCTCAAAGGGCCCCATCTGGCTGCATGGAAGGGGGTTAAGAAGGAGGGACAACCCAGCCTCTCTCCAGCTGTGCTGGGGAAGGGGCCTTGACCCAGCCCCAGTATGGTCATATGGTGGGGAGGGGGCATGACCTCACCCCAATCCAGCCCTGTAGGAAAAGCAGCATTGCCCAGTTCCTAACCTCACCAGGTAGGGAGGAGGGGATGTGTGTGGCCCAGCTCTGCAAGTGGGAATGGAGTATGGCCTGACCACAGGCAGAGGTGGGCATGACCCAGTCCCAACCAGGCCAGGTGCAGGGAAGGGGGAGTGGTCCAGCCCTGTGGGATCAGGGAGAAGGGGGCCTGGGTCAGCCCTTAACCAGCTGTGAAGGAGGGTGTGTGGTCTGGCCCCATGGGGAGAAGGTTTGGTTAGAGATGTCAAGTCCAAGGCTACAGAGTATTAAACTAACTATACCTCCTCATCTTCAAGGCTTCTTGGTGTCTCCTAAGATCTAAGTCTATTGCACACAGGAAATTTATAC